CGTGAAAGGGAGAATCTCTCTCCTCCTCTAATATTGTTACGACACTATCGTTCTTTTAATAAAAAGAATTACAGAATCTTTAAAGAATTTCTATTAAAAAATCAGCCGAGAATTCATAAAAGAATGATGGACGAAATAAAAATCAAGAATTGAACGTATAATTCCTCGATATAATATATACCTACGTATATATGTCTTTTTGTTAAAAAATATCGGATATTTTTTAAACTTATTTCCTGATAATATTTGCATCATCGAAGCAACGGAAAATATTCTTCTTAAAATCTTTTGCTTAAAACTTATACGTGAAAACGAATAATTAATTCCATCAATAACATAATTTATCAGGTTAAATATTTGTTTTATGCAAGACACTCTTTTTAGAGTCACTTTTATTGATTTGCACAAAAAATAGCATAAAATTTTTTTATGGCAAGAGCAAAAGAGTATAATTACGTATACGATTCAGCTTTTATCGATTTTGTTCAAACTAACTCAATTGGCTTTTCGCAATTACAGAATTCGGCTTTGATTATGCCCAAGAAAAGTAAAGCGATGTAATTACAATCACAAAAGATCTTTCATTAATATACATATATTATATACTTATATAATAGATTATATAAAATTAATAAGTAATTTATTAACAATTAATATATGTATATGCATATTTCTCATATATGTTATATTATTATATATGTATTAATAATATATGTATTTAATACACAATATATATTAATACATATATATTATTTATATGCTAATATAAATATAATGTAGGAATAATTCTCGAGAATGTTACAGTGATTCCTGATAACTGTGTTGTACATAAGAATTCGTAAGAAATTATTTTTCATTAAAATACTTTGCTTTATATTAAATAATTTCCTGATTTCATTAAATTTTCTTAATCTTAAAGTGCGCAACTTTATATGTATGCAAAGCGACTTTTCAATGCTCCGTGTACTTTCCCTTTTTGAAGTTTAAACTGAAAACGCGCAGATTTACATACTATCTGTAAAGAATCTTCTTTGGTCCTTCCAGTCCTTTTTTCTCTTCTAAATAGAAAGTCCCAGAAAATCATTTTTTTATTTAAAAAAATACTCAAAACACTCAAAATGCTATTGTAATGCTACTATAAAAAATTGCGCATTTAAGAGTTAAAGCCATTTAATCACTGAGGTTACAATAATAAAAATGACGAAATTTTTATCAATGTATTTAACGTCATTGAAGTTACGCTGGGTCGCGTGGGCGTTACGGTAAGCGCGCGCGTACGATAACGACATTCGTATAGCCGGTGAGTTACGACATCGGCATTTCAAGTTCGCCAAAACATACGATTGTTTGACCTTTCCGAAAGCCTGACAATGAAACCGTCTCGAAGAAATCCGAGATTCGAAACGCAAAGAAAACTGCTTTCATTTTCTTATTAACGGTATAATAAACACGATAAGTGTCTATACATTATCTATCTGAATAGTACTATTTATACAAGTATAACATTTTTACAGTTACCTATAAGATTTTAAAGAACTAATATATATATGTATATTCACTGCAGATATAAAAATATAAACTTCTGTAATATTTTATTTCATAATTCATAATACGTAGCATAATCATACAACGGGGGAACGGAAGAGTTAACAAAATTAATAAAATGTGGATTAAATATGCTAAAAAGCATACGCAAGCATATAGGAATATGCGATATTTGCATTATAATATATTTTATAATCTGCTTTCGGTGAATACCCGATTAATAATTTTTTTCAACGCGCATTTCTTCTTTCTTAATAATCTTTTAATATAAATAGCAAAAAAAAATGATTAAAAATGCTAATACATATATATGTAAATCTGCAAGCAAAATTCCAGAAATAACGTATCTTAAACCGAAAATATATTTTAAGTACCAAATATTGCCTGATTTGAGTGGTTTGTTTTGAGTAAAATCCGAAAACAATCCGAGATTTTTAATCTAAATGCATTAGTATAGATTATAATGTAGATTATATTTAATAAATGCAGTACAGATGTATTTACAAAAATATAATTTCCATAAATTTACATATCGGTTTTTACAAGGAAGTCGGGTAGACTTTTATCACGTGATTGTTACGTGATATTCAACAGACTAAATCAACAAATGTTATCAAATTATCAATGAACATCACGGCGTGGTCACGTGCAATACGATCAGAAAAAGAAAACTTTGACCAGACTCCTTAGCGCCAATCGCATATTACTAATAACCCGGCTTTAATCAATGAATAAATATTTCTGACAACAAGCACTAAACGACTTGGACTCGTCGTCGTGATAAATTTGCGTACGTTCAGGGCATTACATATTTTGGTTTTTCGTTATTCGTTATTACAAGATAACGCAGTGGCGGCGAAGCCACGGCAATGGTGTCACGGGTAAAGTCACAGCTAATGCCAGACTTTCTACAGACGATGACCAAGACCGAAAGGCGGGGACGTGCTTCGCGTAAAATTGCGCCGGCGTTTCTTTCCAAATTCACTCCTGCGAGTGCTACTTTGCGCCTCGATGCGCACGTGACGGCTTCTTTCGCCAATCACTCCTTTCGCGGCCAATTCTTTTGTAAACAGCAGCAATCACACCCGTGGGAAACACACAATTCTGAATAATAAAATTGCGAAAGTATACACATGTGCACGTGCGTATATTTCAGTGCACGTGTATATAATTGCACAGGAAGCTTAACAAAAAATGTTAACACTTGCGTGGGAGTAATTTTTTTACAGGAACAGAACTGATAACACAAGCTATCATATCAATAACAAGCGTATTATGTATTATGTCTTCAAAAAATTTCCACTTGTTCATCATTAAGATGCAAGATCCCCGACAGAGAATTGCAAATGTGATTGCAATACCTAAAGAAATATGCCTCAGAAGTCTGGAGACCATCTGAAAACCATCTGGAGAAGATTCCAAGAATGTGTTGATAATAGTAAACAAGTGGTGACTCTTTGAAGACAAAAAAGACATTTGTTGCTATGATATCTTATATTATCTTATCATTTCTGTTTCTCTAAAAAAGTTACTTCTGTTTAAGTGCAGTAAACATTTTTTTAAACATCTTATATACATCATAATTATGCATGCATATTATATATATATATATATATATATGGAGGGGTGAAAACTACAGTGGTGTAAGTAAAATTTTTAAAAATATTTTCTCGTGTGGATAGATGCAATCTGTACAATATATGTATAAATTGCATCTATGCACACGAGAAAATATTTTAAAAAATTTGACTTACACCACTGTGTGGTTTTTATCCCTCCGCATAGATATATATATTGATATATGTAATATTAATATCTATTGTTAAAATTATTAATGCTATATAATTAATAAGACATTATTAAGCTTATAGCTTTCTGGTCGTGAAAATACTAAAATTATATCAATTTACACAATTTTCAGAAATAATCAAAGATACGATTTTTGCGCAAAGTCACACGGCTTATAGTTTTGCAGATGAAAACTGGATCATAGCGTACATAATTACACTTATGCTTCCACCATAAAATTTCGCACATTAATTTTTTTATGTTATTAAGAATGACTCAAAGTGGAGCATTTCTTGCACGAAATAAAATATTGAAATTGATAAATCCGATCATTGAATTTATTATTCGTTTTCACATGAGTTTCGAAGAAAAAAATTTTGAAAAGGGACATCGCTGTTCGCCGTTGTCCGATTGACCGCTGATAATACAAACACAATTAACGATTAATCTTAAAAGACATTCAGATTTTCAGCGTGAACAATATGATTATCCACACAGATAATCTCGCGCTACGCGAAACCAGTTATATTTCAAGTTTCATCTGGTATTCTAGATCACCGCTGTCCAGATAAGTCAATTAAGTTGTATATTTATTTCGAGGGAACCACTCGGCGTTGTGTTAATTCTTTCAAAGTTAAAAGTTCTAAAGCTGTACATGCAATCTTCCATAATGCTAAAAGTTTGTAATTAAAAAATAATTATTTATTTGGAACTTGTTAATCTTTCACGCATGCGGAACTCTTGAAAATTTCAAAATCAAGTCGAAATTTGAATCCGAAACGAATGCGGAAACGGCGCGTTCGATTAGGAAATATCTAAACCGTAACTGTGAAAGTCATCATTAATAACGCCGGCGAGTGTGTGTGTAATTACACAGTTACGAGGGTATGAGCTGTTCGACTTGTGGCGCGCACTGTACCTCGTGCGAGCTACAGTTTCGACATTCGTCATATATTTTGCAACCTCCGGGGTACAAGTGGCTGGTACAAGTTGCAAAGCTAGTTATCCGAGGGAAAAGGGGGACTGTGCAAACGAAATTACACATTCCTCCTCCGAGACATCTCGATTTTTCCGGGGAAAAACCGTCGCGTCGCCCAACAAACTCTGATTCAATAACAAGGAAACGATCTAATGAAAAAAAAAAGTGCATCCACGGAAGCATTGCGTAAAACGCAAAGCACTCGACGAAAAAAAAAATAATAACGTAACGCTCGCGCGCGCGCGCGTTCTCGTAGCTTCGAAATGGAGCACGCGAGCCCGGCGAACCGTCAAGCGCGTCAATCGTTCGCCAAAGCGCGGCTTCTCGTCCGCGGATCTCGCCGCGGAAAAGTTTCGTTATAAGGCTCGCCGTATATATACGCGGCCGGGATTATGTTGCAACGTTCTAGCGCGATTTCATTTAGCTCGCCCGACCATGTTGCTCCAAAGTTGGCCAATCAACCTCTCGGGTGACCGATCACACGTGTACGAAACGTTCGTATACGAGCGAAAACGAAATTTTCGACCCGTACGCCCGGTGTCCGCGGTAGCGTGCATACTCGGAGCAGAAACGTGCGCTCCCCGCGGAATGCGGCTCTCGCCAAGGGGAACGGGATTCGAAGGCGGACGGAACACACCGAACATATATATAGAACGGCTACGTTAGACGGGAAAGTCCCATGACGTACCTGGCAGGATCAACGTTCGACATGTCCCCGTAGTTCATCTTGTCGACGTGGTGGTCGGCGTAGTCACTGGCGAGTGCACGCGCACCTGACTGTCAACTGAGGTGAGAGCTCGGAGAGAGAGACGACAGGTCCCGGGTCCGGCGATAGCCGGGCGAGAAGATGAGAACGGGAGGCTGTGTTCGCTCCACAAAATTCGCTCCGCTCGTGTCTTTCGTGCGCGGAAGAGAGAGAGAGAGCCGAGAAATACGACGCTCCGGGATCTAGGATATGCGAGAAGAACGAGGTGACGATCCGCGCGATTGCCGCTTTTCGATCAACGTTTCGACGCCGCGCGATGCTCACGATTCTGGACGGACGACGACGGAGGCGCGCTTATACGGAGCAACGCCGATCGGAAACTGGCAGGAAACTGCAGCGGCCGCGGCTCGTATCTCTCTCGCCCCTCCCTCTCCCACCGTGGGCTTCTCACTCCCTTTCATCAGCCGCGCGTTCCCGCGCGCCAAGTCCGACGAACCCCGCGAGGTCCCCGCGATCGAGGCCGCGTCAAAAGTCCGGCCCGAGCCCGAGCCCTTATCACGCGCGTATTCACGCGTTAATGAGATGGACGCGATACAAAATGGAAACTTACGGGCGGCTCGCACCCCGGCTTGAGAACTCGGAGGAGACGAATCACGCAGCCGAGCGGTGACAACCGACAGCACACCGCACCACAGTACCCACACACCACACCGCCGCCGCCCGCGCGCCGCATCGCACCCTCGCCGCGCCGCGCCACGAGACCAGCTGGCCGCACCCCCCCCACCCAGCGTGCTCGTGTCGGACCACAATCCTCGAGCGCGATTGGCTGACGAGAACCACGCGAGCTCCTCGTTTCCTCTCCGTCGGCATCGACTCGACGCTCGACGTCTTCTTTCTCCCCTTTTCCACGTATAGCGTGCAACTCGATTCATGCCGTAGTTGCCCGTAAGTATAAGTCTGGTATAAGTTATACTATCAGTCTATCGTCTATCAGTACGGCAACCGTCGACAAGCGGGTTCGCGCTGGACCGACGGAACGATATACCGTGTAATTTGATATTGATATTATTTCCTCCGACCGTTATCGAACGCGAACCGACGATTAACGAGGCCGAGGCGAAGCAACGATTAACAATCGGAATCGGTATCGACACGATCCCGGTACATGCATAATATTAACATTTGAATCGTCTATATTGACTTTATCGCTATTTACGTATATTGTAAAAGACGATAAAAAAATTTCATTCTTTTAATACAGATTTGTATTCCTTCCCATTGTCCGGAACTTGGATATACCGTGAACAATATATATATACTCCCTCACTTTTCCTGTATAACGAGAAGCTGCGCTTTGCATTCATTTACTCCGCTTTTGTTTTGCTTTTTTTTTTTGTCCCGCGTTTCGATTATTCCTCCAAGAATGAAATGAGACGGACTGCTACTACAAAACTCATCCACGCCTATCTTTCGTATTACATCATTCGGTATCTATTAATCGATGACTCATTAGAGTAGATTAAAAATCTTCCCCCTCCTTTTCCCAACGAATCAGATCCGAAATTGCAATGTTATAATATAAGAGAATTTTAAACTGAACACATTTTGTTGAATAAAACTTAGTCGGCTGTCCAGTCATTACAAAAATTTTAATTTGAGAGAAAAACGCCATTTACGGTCCGGGATCTTGGCATAGCTTTTAATAATGATATATTGTATGAATATTGTGTACTTTTTCGCAAATTCAAGTAAACTCGGTAAATCGGCATTTTTCTCTCTAATTGATTGTATATTATAACGCTCCCTATTATTAAAAATTTTAATATCTTGATAAAAAGAGGTTGAGAACCTCTACGTTAGATGGATAATATAAATGCGCCCATATAGCACACAAACTATTTTAGCAATATTAGAGCTGTACCGACGTTGCAACGAATATTCTATATTTTACGGGAGAATTCGTTGGCTCGCCAATTTTCTCTGCCGGCCGCCCGCAAATATAGCGTGACTCGTGCTTTACGGATGCAACACGCGATCGAACGCGATTGCGCCGTTTTTGTTACGAAGCACGAATAAGATGTTCCCACACATAACGCAGAATATTCTAGAACAATATTGCAACAACGTTCTCTTACAATATAGCTGGTGTATTCGAATGTTGCTGGAATGTATATACATATAACTAACTAAGCCGGCTTATACAATCGATCGTAGGTGGTAACTTATAATTAGCAATAGTAATTTCAGAGACGAATTTGACATTGATTTAACGATCCAACAATATGCATCGTATATATGTATATCGTATTGAACCCTTTCTTACATATATAGATATTCCGCTATTGCGCGTTTCCTATCTGCTATCTAGATTGATACAGTGTTTAATAAAATTTGACTTTTATATTTTAAGTTTTTTACAAACAATAATTGCGCGAGATACATGAGGGCAGATTACAAGCGGAAATTTATACAATATTTGCAATATAAGCTTAATAGAGACAAAAAGATAAAATTAGTCGCATAATAATAAAAACGTCAAATGAGCTGTGAAAATTAATGGAGCGATCGATATGTCTACACGTGCACGCGCACGTATGGCTCCGAGAGCGCGAACTCTATACTCGCTAACTTTAATCGCTTGAGACTATCGTGACTTTGATATTTTCAGTGTTGAAACTTTTGACTCTAATTAACCTTTTAAAATGCGCAGTTACAAGAATTTATTTAATATTTTACGTAACTGTATGATCACATTACTCGCGGGCAATGCTTCTGTTACGGAATATAAAATTACGAGAGCTTTTCTTTTTTAAATGTAACTACATATCTGAAATCTTATAATGCAAAAGTCTGTATAATATTTATTACTAGTTTTATGTAATTAAAATAGAAAATTTTGAAGAATTGTTTCGTTAAAAAAAAATATATATAATATATTTGCATTAATAATTTAATTTTTTAATATTGGCAAAATCTACCGTGAACTCAGAAAAAATAATAGGTGTACCGTGTGATAGCTCGTAGATCGTAACTATGGATAATATACATAAAAAAGAAAAAACAAGAGAACCAAAACGAAGAAAATTTATATGTTTGCGGTTCGTAATGATTTCGTTCAGCAAGTAGGTTCATCTTCGAACATTTTTCTAAATTAATATGCGTTAACAATAATTGGAAATGATAAAATTTATTATATTTTGAGGAAAATTCTCTCCAGGTTTATTTATTTATTATATATGTCTAAATTTAAATTACGATTTAACGTTCTTTTCTATCGACTATCACACAATTAAATTTGAACGCTCTCGAGAAATCTGTATTTTGTTCCGTGTCGTCAACATGGCCGAATCCTTTGGACTACTAGTTAATAATTACTAGTTAATAATTAAATGTAATTAGTTTCTTTTTTTCCATCGCGATTGATGCAGTAAAATTCCGATCACTTTTTCTCCGCTATCTTCCTGTTACGTATATCTTCCTATCGTCGTCTCACGTGAGAAAGGAATGATCAATTGATTTCCACTTCAGAATATCGTGATCATCACGTTGAAAGGTCGATGCCGGATAGGAATATTACGCCTTCCGTAAAAATTTTTTCGCGACCATTGCAGCGTTGGAAATTTCCGCATTCGACGTTTTCGCATGCGATATATGTATACATTTTAATGAGCTTATCAATTGATTTGACCCGAAGGACATCCTGTCTACATTAAGGTTGCACTCTTCCATGGATACTTATAATGAAATGAACGTGAAACTTCTTTTCTCAGCTTTCTTTCTAATTTCTTTTTATTTTCTGTCAGAAAAATTTCGATAAATTAATTTATTAACCATCTAATTCTCTTTCTCCTCCTTTTTTTCTTTTGACACAAGAGAATTTGTAATGCACGGTTCTATTATCACCGCATAATAAAGATGGCTATCGCTGAAACAATAATACAATTCAAGAAGTTGACAAGTATAGATACATTTTAATGAGCTTATCAATTAATTTGACGCGAAGGACATCCTGACATCAAGGTTGCACTCTTCAATGGACACTTACAATGAAATGAATGTGAAACTTCTTTTCTCAGCCTTCTTAATTTCTTTTTATTTTCAGAAAAATTCCGATAAATTAATTTATTGGCCATCTAATTCTCTTTCTCCTCCTTTTTTTCTTTTGACGCAAGAGAATTTGTAATGCGCGTTTTTATTATCGCCGCATAATAAAGATGGCTATCGATGAAATAATAATACAATTCAAGAAGTTGACAAGTATAGATACTTAAAAATCAATTTGCATATTTATAAACCAGTGGTTTTGCGATACTGCAGAAACACTACGCACGTACAGATGCAAATGACAGTAATTATATAAGTATGCCATCTAAAATGTATCATCTCTCATTAATAGTCGATTTCACTCAATACGTCAGCCATATGGTAACTCAAGTAGCAAGCTGGCGTTATCTATCGTAATTTTGACGTTAAAATGACGACAAATAACGTTAGCTTGCTACCTGGGAATATAGAGTTGAAGTAAATGTCCCAAAAATATATCGCGTGCAAGTATCCGTTATACCATACACACACACACACATACACAAGCAATCGATTCTCTAAGACTGATCTGTTTGTCTTTATATATTTTTCTCTTTCTTTTCTTACCTCTTTTTTTTTGCGAATCCCTAGCTATATGTGTTTATTTTTTTTTAATCCAGAAAGCGTGCACACATAATGCAGCCAAAAATATTAATATTCTCTTTTTGGAACACGTTCGTATGCGTAGGTGCAGCCACTTGGCGTCTGTTACCAGCGTATCACATGTACGATGCATGAGACACTTTAAATTGCAATATCGCCGTGATGAGCACTGGAAAAAACACTGATTTTAGATACACATGTAATATTACGTCTTATTTGGTCTCCCTATTTTATAGTATTTTTATATTAATTTTTTTTCTTTTATCATGTCGTGACTATAATTCAATTTTATTTTTACTTATTTATATTTTCTTATTCATGTCTCAACTTCTTTTATATTATTTGTCGGCTGATAAAAATTCCGTGTAGTTCGAAACGTTCCGACAGTTAAATTGATAAGAATTAAATCACATTTTATTTAATTTGTAATTACTTAATTTGCTCGTTTACGTCTCCTACGATCTCCAGTTGCTTTACATTACATCCAAGTATAGAAAATAATACCCGTCGTTATTTAATTCTACGAATGTGATATATGAAAAGATAATCAATAATTACCTTATCGACAACTTATTATCTCTCGATCAACGTCTGTGATCAAAGTAACAATCTATTACTTAATTTGCTAAATATAAATATTTCCTTACGATTTTATTTTCAAAATTGTATTCTCGATATGGTATTAGTGTAAAATGCTTTTATTTTATTTTCCAAATAAAAGCTCACCGCGTTTTCGAAAGAATGCATTTTATTCAGATGTTCGCATATATTAGGTTTACTCGTGTTCCAAGAAGCTCTAATGTTTAATATACTTGACAATTGATATTTAACATATTTAGACAGTCTATATTTGCATAGCCAAGTCCGTGTCGAGAGTCGAGAACAGATTATGCAAAGAGTCTACTACAAACATTGTCGGCGATAAAATTTAACATATGCAACGATATCGGTAAAATTTTGTGATAAAGATCTAGAGTTTATAAACAAAATATGATAGTAGAGAAATTGGACAATATTTAACATAATTTCACAGCGGGACAAATAAAAATTGGACAAATCTTGTATTTCACTATTTAATCCTTTCACGTCTGATTTCTTTTCAGAAGAGGAATATATAAAACAGGAATATATATAGTTTAATTATTTTTAGAGATCTTTGGCTGAATACGAACACGAGATCAAAATATGAAAATTTAAAATAACTAATTTAAAGACTAAAATATTTTCCAAATCTAATAAAAAACGTTTATTAAAAAAATTTCTGGAGTCGTTTAATACAAATATGTTAAAACATAATAGATTTAACATAATGGATTCAGAATGCAATGCCAATGAAAATGTATCGACAAAATATATATTAAAAATAACTATCATGCTTATCTTTTAACTTTTACCTGTAGAAATCTTTCTTTTTATATTTACTATACCTTTTTTTAGATAGGATTGTTCATAGAAATTAATATTTGTTAAGACTGGAAAGTGTAGACCTCTGTGGGGGGAAACGAAGACTAACGCATAAAAGATTGGATTATATGATAAAAAAAATAGGATAAAGAAGAAATTAAAAACAACTTTTATTGAGATGCAGGGAAATCACGTACAGGATTACAATAGATATTGAGTCACCTATATTTTGTCGAAGATGCGAATTTATGTTGGATGGTCAACAATGATTTATTTGTAGCGGGCAAACAAATATCAAACATAACATACATATAATAATAATGCTAGCTTAAAAAAATAGTTAATAATCGATAGAAACTTTATACAAGTTTACCAAAAAGTCAGTCTTAAAATATAATATAATATAATTGCCATATCATTAAGACGCTGATGCTTCTTTGGATCTTAAAGGGCAGATCGACTAGCAATATTTGCGAATTATCTTAAAATTTTCATTTCTTAGAGCTATGATATAAGACAACAATGTAGATGTTGAATACTATTTTACGTTCAATCAATTTTGTCACATTACTAAAGTGTTCCCTTCAGCACGTGATACTATTGCACAACATAATTTCAGAGAAAAGAGAAAATATATTCTGTCTGATCATTATTTACTTATTAAGATAAAATATATTTTGTTTAAATTTCAGTTGGTAAATCCTCCGGGTGAGGGTTAAGAAGATAGCATTATGATATAATAAAATGACAATGTGGACATTGAATAATATTACGGTCATTCTCGAATATAGAATATCTACATGCTGTGCTGTGATACGAGCTCGATACAATGTATTCAATTTATAAAATGTGTTGCTTCATTTATACACTGCAAGTTATTATATGTACAACTGTAAAATGTACATCAATAAGTACAATTTGTATTCTTCTGCTAGTCAAAAGAGTCTCTGATCAATTCATGATCGATTTCTGGTCTCAACGATTCAACTCTTTTTGTATTTGATCCAGCGACTTGCCCTTGGTCTCCGGAACCAAGAAGTAAACAAATAAAATGCCGATGGCGCAGAATAAAGAGAATATCCAGAAAGTACCGTAGGAGTCCACGGCGGCGGTCATATCAGAGTAAAATTTGGTGACTATAAATGCCATAAGCCAGTTGAATAGACAGGCGCTGCTCCCAGCGACTCCCTTCACCTCCGGCGCAAAGATTTCCGGCATCATCATCCACGGGATTGGTCCAAAGCCGAAAGAAAATAGTATGAGAAAGACGCAGAGCGGAATGAGCGCGAACCACTTGATATCATCGAAGGCAGTGGTAAATTTAATACAATAAAAGTAAATTCCGAGGAGCAGAGTCATTAGGAACATCACTACGATCGATGCCATCAGTAAAATCCTCCTGCCCAGTTTATCAATGACAAGAGTACCAAGGAACACCGATATTACTTGCACCGCTCCTACGATGATACTAGCTGTACTGGGCTTCATGGAGCTTCCGGCTTTGGTAAAGATGTCCGAAGAATAAAAGATGATGGAGTTTACTCCGCTCATTTGTTGGAAGAGCATCAATCCGTAAGCGATTATAAAGCCTTTCTTCGCGGCCGGGGATTTGATCAAAACTGCGAACGACGCACCGCTCCGCCTGGTTTCTTCAAGCGCCTCACGATGCTGTTGCAACTCGGCTTCAACATTATATTGATCGCCACGAAGTCTGATCAAACTCTTCCTGGCGGCTGCCTCATTACCTTTCTTCAGGTAGTACACTGGAGTCTCTGGCATGAAAAAGAACGCTCCGAAGAAGATCAGTGGCATAACCGCCGAGATAATCGACAGAGTCCACATATCGACAACGTCCCCAAGGACGTATGAGATCAGGATACCTATGGTGAGCATCAATTGGAAGTAAGAGCCGAGCGCGCCGCGAATCTCACTCTCGGATATCTCTGCCGTATATAGCGGGGCAGCTACGCAAAAGGCTCCACCACTGACGCCGGTAATGAATCTACCAAAATAGAACATGAGTACCGAATTCGAGAAGATGATAAGTAGCCAACCAACGGTGAAGGGAACTACCATGATCAGCATGGCAGTTTTCCTCCCGATTAAGTCCGCTAGCATGCCAATGGGAATGCATATCGCACCCGCTCCAAGAGTGGTGAGTGATCCTATCCAGGAGAATTCGGCCGGGCTAATTGGTATATTATAAGCGCTTATTAGGTTCACTCCATTTTCACCGGCAGGCGATGACCAGCCGAGCACCATGCCACAAGCGAGAGCTCCGAGCGTCGCTGCTATGCCTGCCATGTATTGCGGCAACTTCTTAGCTTTACCAAGCTGGCCATTATTAGAGACCAAGGTCTGTTGCGAGATAGTAATCTTCTCGGGCATGGCTTGACCACTTGCTGACAAAAGTGGTGTACTCTCGTCGGTCTGGAAAAGAAATATTAATTTGAATTACAATATTGAATTATAATTTTTCAACGAATCTCTCTCTCTTACGAAACATAAACATAAAACTTTAACAATTTGGATTGGAATATACGGCAATTTTGGAAGACAATATTATTTGTCAATACAACTTGAATACAACGGCTATTTTTCATATAAACTACATAATCCATTTATATAGAATATTCTGTAGTCAATATAGCTTCTATTCAAGAGAATGACATTTATTTACTTCAAAAAAACCTGACAGAAATTATTGTTTAACATTGCCCTATATGTTCTTTCCTTTTTTTTTCATTTTCTTATAATTATGACGATTATTTCTATCTTCTTTTTAAGCTTCAAAAATAAAATTATAATACAAATTAATGAAAGAGAAAATATTAAGAATCTAAATAATTTGTTACATATTATTTCATCGCATCATTTCATCAGCATTTCGGTCAGGAATGTTCGTTAAATATAGACAAAGCGGGGACAAAGGAATATGTTGAAGGACACAGGGATGATATACGTACGGTCGAGCATGTTGCTGCCGCATTTTCGGCTTCCCACACAAAATCCGTTACCATTATGAAATCCTTTTAATCTACTCTAATTTAGCAAAGAAATGCAACGGTCCTATATCGGTTTGACACTTTGACATTCCAGATACCAGCTCGTATGACAGTTCTTATGATACACGCGACTGCATGCGACGCACTACACACGTTATCTCGGACGATTTGACGAAATGACGAGGCGTAGACGACGCGGTATGTACAATACAAGAAACGGAGCATTTGTTGGTTCACTTGCACCTTTTGCACCTCACGCTCTTTCTCTCTTCTCCAACAGCCAAACATAATATCTCTATCTCCTTTCAATTGCAGAAAGTGCTGAAGAATTCCAGCCAGCTAAAATCCACAACAAAACATTCGGAGTCGCACTTGACATCTACCGGCGAAGGTAACAATTAATTGCGCACCGGAAAAATGTAAATAATATCGACATTGTTTATTCTTTTTTTATACATCTTCAATTTTTCCGCGAAGAATTACGGTTCTTACGTCAGGAGTAAGATATTGGGAATACCTCATTTGTATAAACAAAAATTGTTTTCAAATATGTGCCATCTTGCTGTTTATTTATACATTTTATTTTTAATTTTTTATTTATGTAATACAGGATGTTCATTGGCAATGATCCACATGATTTCAAAGGCAGCTGAAATAATCTGACAATGAGTGAAAAAGATTATATGACAAAACTAAGTTTGTTTCACGCGAGCTGCAACTTACGAAATCGAAATTTTTTTCTTGCGAAAGATTCAAGATCTCATTTTGTTTTTATGATTTTTTTGGTGATATTGGCTGGATTCGGGGAGCGCGCTATTAGCGCTATTTGCTTATTCTATCCTTGTTTTACATCTGATGAGCGATAAAGACAGAATGATGCAATAGCGCTAATAGCGCGCTTCTCGAATGCAGCCATTGTAGGAAATATCGAGGCAAAGTTAATGATTGCTCAAAATATTATTTTTACTTATAATTAAGAAAGATATTTCAACTTAATTATGTGACCAAAATGTTCAGTAATAATTAATACGTTACATAAATGATTCGAGATCTCTAGATTTTTAAATTTAAAAAAGTCGCGTATTACAAATCATATCATTGTGACCTTCTTACTTTAGTACGCAGATAACTTGGTGTCATATTGAAGATTATCGCGGTTTACAAATCGTTTGATTATATCTTAAAAATATCATTAATCTTATTTCACCGCATTTACTGATATACAAAATTTTAAGTAATTCCGACCTTCGCATATCTGTATATTTGTTCAACTTCAGCATTTGATAAACATTTTATAAGCATATAATACAGATAATTCTTGTGAACAGCGAAACGAGCGTAAATTGCTGTATTATACGTCACTTAAAGAGGGACACTAAAATTTGTACAAATTTATATCTATGAGAAGTTTAAACTAGCATTTTTTGTCTTTACATTATGCGATTGAGTAACAGTCTCAAAAGAAGCAGATCATATATCGCTTATTGAATAATATCACGTATAACATTATGCAATATCACATTGAGGAAAAAACGTACGGAAAAAGATCATAAAAAATAATGAACAGCGGTCGCGTGATGCTTAATGAAAAAAAAAATCGTTTAGATAAAAGTTTAAACGTTATAGATAACAAGTATTTAAAAACGCGCCAAGTTGCATCATTTCGTGAATTTTAACGTTCGAAGTTAAAGATGCCTGATTTATATTTATCGTTTATATTTATTATTAAATGAAATTGACGTTTGATGTATACATATACAGCGATGCGCAAGAAGTCAGTCTTATTTTCTTCGTTTTTTTTTTTACGAAACGCTAATCGGTTTTTTATTGCATCATAAATTTCCATCAATGACATTGAAGTCTGTAATATCGAGGAGAATAGTATAAAAATGTCAGAGAGAACTCATCCAATTACGCGGAAACTGTCATAAAAAAAAAGAAAAGTTAATATCTACGAACACGCGCGCGTGTTTGTATGACGTTTTAGATGGTGAACGATAACGAAAAACAAGATATAATTCCGCTCCGGTATTCTGATAACAACATGCATGGATTACATAAACAGTATGTGTGATGTAAAGAACGTGACGTTTTCAGTGCACGTCAATTAATCACGATATTCATCTTTTACTGTTAATCTGTCAGAAGTTCGACAATATACTCTTGTTCATACAAGAATGGAATGAAATATTAAGATTTGAATTAAAGACTCTCCGTAATGCGACACGTAATTTGCTGATTTATTATCAGTCCGTATTATCAATGAACGTATTACTTTTGATAACCTGCTATACAATGCGATATTAATATAAAGATTTATTGTAGTTTTATTGTGTGTAAACAGTTCGTTTCTCCATATATGTATAGCCCGCATGTCATTTTGTTATCTAAGATCGTGAACCTTCACCTTTTGCACGAGTTTAACACGATTAATCTTCATTGAATCCCGAGTAATTTCTCTTTCATGGCTCGCAGACTTGCTTGTTCCGCGATGTTACAGTTTCACAGGCCATTTAATAGTTCAAGCATCATCGGATAATGCTAATTGACACTTCATGTATATAATTGCAACGCGAAGCCAAAGTAAACGTCTTGTATTCCGTTATACTCATGCAATATTTGCGCTAAATTTATGGGAACGTTCAACTGTTCAAATGAATGGAATTTTTTCATAGTTACCGATTATTTTATCACGATAATCGCGGTATGTCAATATTTCCCTACGACATTATGCTTCTTAAATTATCGTAGATATCGTAGAAATCAGTGTGATACGAAATATCCGTTCCACATTTTTATTCCATTATATTTGACGATTGTAGAAATTGGATAAATATTTTCTCTTTTTTATTTGATCAAGAAAAAATGTGTCATTCGTGTCCTATTTATTCTATCCTAGATGCAATTCAGCATCGTTTTAGCAAAAATGACAATTTCTGGTTTTGTGACTTTGTATTTTAAGGAGCCAATGTAAGCTCTTGCAACATTTATAAATGTTCAATATAAACACTAACATCGAATTATTGCATAATGTTATCGCGTGAGCGCACGTCGCAGCGATAACAATGCGATATAGCGTCGAGTACCAAGGGTTAAGTTTTAAGTGTCGATGAGATTAAACACGATTCCGCGAGTGTATTGACAAACTTTACTGCCATAATTGCGGGGTATATTCGCCTATAATCGCGCGATGGAGTCATACGGATTGGAAAAAAAAAATTATTATCCTCCGTAATATGTGTATGTTGTGTTTCAAGAATATATAACACAAAAATGTGTTTATGTGCGCGAAAAAATATTGTGTCGGCGAGCTGTACGAACAGATAAGGTATACCACCTTAGAAATCTGATTGCGACCAGGATGTGATTGCAAACAGGATGTGAATAATCGAAATATGTTATTTAGACTTGATCTACTAATTCCAGATCATCAAATGACATCGTCATATAAGATAAAAGAAAGTAACGTAACAAAATAATGTAAGAAATGAGAGTTTTCTATTCAGCAATTCGATTTGCTTACACGCGAATTTCTGCGAAGCTTATCCGTTAGAACGCATTCACGACTATCGTTATCTTGCACTTGTCTTGCTAAATGCCAAATGTGTTAGTGATGTGCAATACCGTGGTATGTTGAAAATCGTTTGTGATGTATCAGATATTATTCTTTTTTTTCTTTTGTATGACAAATATCCAAAGACATTCAAGGTATATTATGAAAAGTTGCTAAATTTAAATTGTATCTTTAAATCTGACTGTACAATTACGGTACAATAATGGACAAACAAAATTATTAGAATTAATTAAGAATAATATTCAAAAGAAGTAGGTATTTTTACATAATATACATAGGAAATATGAATAATTTATGATATGTTGTCATCGTTTTGAATATCTAACATTCTTTTCGCATTACAGCATACAGATGTGTGCTCGCAAATACCTCGAAAATATGTATTTAATCAACAAATGTACTAATTAAGCGCAGTGATTGCTGAAAGCTTATTAAATGGAAATTAAACGGCACCTTATTTTCGCACCTGCTCGAACAACGCATATTTCAATGTTAGAACTCGTCGATCGCGTCGAAAATGATTTATATAACGATCCGTGTGGTTGGTTTCTTATGTAACAACCCGAGGAGGTACCATCCGTAATTTTCGTTTTGTCGGGTTTTTCCGTTCGTTCATCGAAACGCCCGCGCCGCCGGCCGGCTCGCGGAAATCGACGCGAAAAATACTGCAGACTCGCGTTAACGTCGTAGTAAGCTGGCGAAATCACAAGTTTATTAAACCATACGCATAAATCGCAACAACTGAACCGCCGGTGTATGGATTTCCCCCTTATCTTGCGTATTTAATGATTGCGATACTGCACAAAAACCGAAAGCATTCAATGCAAAGTCGCACGTGTGGATATTAACCGCGGAGCTGCGAAATGTCTTAATTAAATGTAGATTAATATATATTTTCATATATGTACTCTCTCATATATATGTATGTATTTATCAATGTATTTTTCTTTAATATATTCCGTGCATTGAACTAAAAATGTCAGAAAATGTAGAATAGCGCAATGTAGAAATGAGTGTGCGAATTAATAATAGATAAATATGATAAATTGCGATACGTCTATTTTTCAACGATGGCTACTTTTGAATAATCTATAACTGAATCATGCCATATTTAAGAATATAATACATTCACTTGCAATTTTATACGCCATGTGCGTCGATGTGTGTATATATTTTAGCATATATTTTACATATGCGTGTATTTCGACTCTCCAATTATTTTTCGTTACACAAAGTTATAAATAGAATTCTAATTTAAATCGTAACGAATTATAGATAAACTAAAGTGGGCTTAAAAATGACGTCGATGCGAGTATTTACGCATTAAAAGAATTCGCAGAGTAGGAAAAAGACATACGACGTAAAGAGTTTATAAGCATGCATCGATAACGCGCGGCGGTAACACTACGTTTTAAATATATTATTTTGAACTTGAACCTATATACGCGGCGTTGCATTACGAAGATAAAAACCGCGTGACGAATTCGAATTCGGACGAGCATGTTTTGCGAAAATACGTGAAAATTCAACGTGCTTAACTCATTCTTAACAACCATTATTTTATCGTGCTACTCGACAAACGCTCGCAACGCCTTTTGCGCGCAGTGTCACTCGCATTGGGGTATATTGGGGCGCGATTTATTTTAAAAATTGACAGGCCCGTGTGTGTGCGCGACGTACCTTACTTATTATTTTTATATCCGTCCAAAAAGGGATTTAATATTGATTAAACCCCTTACAGGATCACGGCAATACTGATAGCTTTCATAATAAAATGTAATCTTTAATCATAAGATTGTCATCACACATTGCCTGATAAACATAGTATATCGCTCTTCAGAGCGATAAAATCCAAAATTACACTATGTTACATTTTCCACGTTAGCAAAAACAAATATATACGAAAAGGAAAAGAAGGAAAAGAAACAAAGGAAAATGCGTCAAAGGAAGAGAGATGGACGAACGTCGCGTCGTTATCGGCGCGTGGCTGAGAAACTGTAATTTAGCGAACTAATTAAAAAATGTTGATTACATACCGTGACCTTCCTCTGGTCGTACGAAACCTCCTCGATAGTCAACGGTCCCTCGTCGGGGTGGTCGCGGGTATACGGAGGGAACGGCTGGCTATCCTAAAACCGCGAGCTGAGTCGTACTGACCAGCGCGTGTCGTGGCGTACGGCGGAGTATGCGGCGGAGACCCGCGACGGTAATCATCGGCCCCGGCAAGAATTCAATTCTTATCAGTCGCATGCAGTATGTCGAACGCCAAGATATATACGTATATGTATATCTTGATTTAATCGGCGCGGTTGTTTGCGCGCCGACACCGCGCAAATGGATCCGCGAAACGAGACAGGTCATCCGCACCATTGTATATTTCCTTGTTCACATTATCCCTGTTCGGTTCCGTTCGGTTCCGTGTTCCGTTCGGAGTAATCGGCCCGGCTAGCGCGAGATTGCGATGTCCATGCTTGGTCCGGCTTTCCCGTTCCATTCGACGCGCGATAATTGCACAGAAATGACGCGAGATCATCGTCTTGGGGATTTACGAAATAATAAGTAAGCAGCGTTATATCGAATGTGTAAAAATGCTGGAATTGTTCTCTCTGTGTACATCTGGATCACAAGTTTTTTGGTGCTACCACCGAACGTGGTAGCGAAACGTCAGAAATAATAAAGATAAAAGTACACTATTAAATTCGTAGTGTCAAATTATACTCAAATTGAGAGTCATTTTTTATCATTCCTGTTGGTCGCCACTGCTCTTACTCAATATGTCGTTAATTCAACTAAAACGATGTTATAATTTAATTAAACCAATAAAGTTAAAATAATACTGTTTTATATGTTAAAATAATAAATTTTGATACACACATATATGCATGGTAGTTAAAAATAACAAAATGTTATTTAACTCAAGGTATTGATTTAAATTGCTTCTTTTAATATTTAACAGTGTAGCTCCGTTTTTTATGTCGTCAGAAAAAGTGCGTCGCGTCTTTAGGACCACACGTTTGAAGAATTTAGTCCTAAAAAATAAATGACGTTTCTATTAACTTATTTTGCAATGTTGCAATGTATTATCTATATTAGTAGTCGAGCTTGTTGAAAAATAAACTATTTTTCTCTTCTATTCCACTCTATATTGTGACATTTCTTCTGTCCTACTACGATTAAGGCTACTTGCAGAGAACAAAAAACAATACCGAAAGCGGAATACAAGTCTCCTAGAGTTCGCCAGAGATATTCAGTTACAGAAATTTATGGATATAAAAATAATAAATCTTACGTGAATTCTCAGGAAAGGCGGAATACAATGCATCCACTTATTTTTCCCCCGTAGAACAATTATAATCACACTCGAGGATTTATTCTTTTACGAAAATCTTAACGGTGCATATTCGATCCGATCAAAAGGGAAGAGAAAAATCTATTCTTGTATTTCTTTTTTCTTTTTCAGTGAACTCGCATGACGTTAGTTTCTGGATATATGTGATCGTAATTTATTTGTATACCACTTTCAGATAACGTTATAGTGCATGCTAGATTTTTCTAGAATAATTCTCAGTGATTGGTATTTTTTCTATCGTCACAGTGATTCACAATTCGAATACCATTCCGGATTTGCGCGCGATACAACTGATAAATAACTGATAGGTTTCATATTATCCGTGTTTTATCTTTTATCGAGAAACCCAGATATACAGATTTCGAAATCGATAACAATCGCTGAGAAGATGAGCAAATCGCATAAAACGTGTTTAAAATATGAGCAAGTCCATTTAGTGTCTTTATTCAAGTGATGGATAAATCAATATTTAACAAATGTAATAATGCTGACGTATCGTCGGATCGCTCATCGGACTTGGTATTTAATTTCATCATGACAAATGATGGCCAACATTTTCAGTTTCTTGCCTGTAAACATCGTTAGGTAGTAACTTGGCAATTGCGACGTGATAATTATAGTGTAGTGCGAATTTCTATTATCGATAATGCTGTCATAAATTATGGATTCATTTCTTCTATTGTAAGCTGTTATTTTGGAGGAGAAATTAAGGTCCACTAAGATCATAATAAATTTTAATACTTTAGAATTAAACGCATTTTGATAAATCTATGGAGGTAATAACTGGATTGTAACCCATAATGTAAATGATCCTTAAAGCATAATTTATATACACGATGTTTTGATTAGTAATTAATGCATGGCGTAAATGCATTCAACGTCAAAAATGCCTCTTGCTATCAGATTTAACATTTTTGGGTCAAGCGTCGCCAGATAATTTAAGTATATTTTTTAGTATATTCATCTTTTGAGAAAGAGAGAAAATGCAAATTATACATTTGCACCACATTTACGAGACCTTCGATTCACATTTATTTCAACTTTCTATAATTCTGGCAATTTTTCTAATAAATAATATGTATACATAATTCTGAGGCAGACTTGATTATAAACATTAATTAACTTGTCGAGTCATATCCATCAATATTTTGTTACTATGGCATGGACAGGGGATTATCAATAATTATTATCATTATCTTGTTGCTTGACATATGAAAAGAAAGATTAGATTACGAATGGCGTATTATAATAGTTAGAAATTATAAGCAATTTTGTCGAATTAATCGTCGATATAGAATTATTAACTTTTTGTTGTAACATTTAGAAGAATTAGATTATAGACAACGAATTATATTAGTTAGTTATTTTGCCTTAAACAATTTTATCGGTTAAATTTTAATTTCCGGCATCGGAGATATTATTAAAAGATTATATTATCGATTCTGAACAAATTCTTATGATGATTATCAATTTCCTCGGGGACCCCCAGAAATTGCCGAGAATCCGGAGATAATTGAAAAGTACCGATATTTTATTTGATATATATTCGGCTGATATTTCTATATCTAAAAAATTAACTTTACAATTCAAGATTATATATATTTATGATTTATTATTATACAGAGATATTTGATTTCATAAATAAGAATACATCATTTACGATGTAATAATATCATATATCTATATTGCCGCGTAATAAGATATTTCTGTACAATTATCATTTGCATAATCAAATACGAATGATACAATATAATATTGCAGTTCTAAATAAAAATAAAATATTGTCGAGTCGAAAATATATTTGTACATAATAAATTACTATTATCAGCTATTTATTCATTATCTTGTTAGTTCGACCCTTTAATTATTGGTCTTTAACAATATCTACCTAATACGTCTCTCTTTTCGATAAAGTCTGTGTCAAATTACACATTGAAGATTGAGAATTACGAATTAAAGATTATAGAATATTCGGCTGACTGATCAAAACGAATCGATTTAAAGTTAAAGTATGATTGATCAAATTCTAATTTTCAATTCGTAATCCTCGATCTTCAAGATGTGTATAGTTTTGACATGGGATTCGAGAGCTAGATTGGATTCGAAAATACGCGCCGGTGAGCGGCGCGCGTCTCGCGGCCGGAAGTAGATCGCGTCATCTCGGCGGACCTGCGCGGTCTGCGCCCTGCGCCGATCCGACTAATCTGGACGGTCGACTTCCGCCGTGGCCGGTTTACGCAACACGCAACAGACGAATAATCTGTCGGCTGGTCGGTTCTCGGTTCTCACAGGCGTTTTCTCTCGTGCGAGGATTCTCAGCGAAAAGAAATGTTGCGCGTCGTAGCGACACGCGTGGCCTCGGCGGCGCGCAGCGCGATGGTGCCGCGGGGCTCGGCTGCCGTCGTCGGCACCCAGTGCACCAGGTCAGCCCACGGCGGTCCCAAGGAGACCGACGAGGAGTTCGATCAGCGATATGTGAATTTCTTCAACCGCAACGACATCGATCACTGGGAGATCCGGAAGGCCATGAACGATCTGGCCGGTGAGCGAGTTGATTGCCTCCTCGACCTAAACATCCTGGACCATTGAAACGCGACCCCTCGAACTGACCGTGATATCCGTTCGCCTGCGCCGCGAGGAGAACGCGACGTCCGTTCCTTTTGATTGCATCGCGTTTTGCGGTTGACACAAATTGTTTACAGTGTTTTGGAACTGCTTTTTAAATCGTAGCTTCTATTAAAGTTCTATTAAAATTCTGTTAAAACTTGCGAAGTTGTGCCTGAGAAACAACTTTTCCTGATATTTTCTTTCTGACGTTTACTTTAATTGCTAAAAGTGTCTCACTTTTTAGTCGTTAATTATTTAAACATGTAAGAAAAGAAAGAAAAGAACAACTTATTGACTAAAAAATCTACACTGGAAAATCAGAACATTGTTTGATAATCTATTAAATTATGAAGTAAAAATGAAATATTCACATTTGTATCTACCTGTATATCATACAAATATTTTTAAATTTTAGATAGCTGCAAAGACTGTCACGATAATATTTTTTCTTTCATACTGGTCTATTATGAATACATATCTGTGTACCGTTATAAAAAAAATAAATTTTATTTTTATTCTGTTTAGGTATGGATCTTGTGCCAGAGCCAACGGTTATATGCGCAGCGTTAAAAGCTTGCAGAAGGTTAAATGACTATGCGCTCGCTGTAAGGTTCCTAGAGTGTGTAAAAGATAAAGGTGGACCACACGCCGACAAAATCTATCCCTACATCATTCAAGAAATTAGGCCCACTTTGAACGAGCTGGGTATTAGCACGCCTGAAGAGCTAGGATACGACAAGCCAGAATTAGCCTATGAATCGGTGTATCATATGTAATGAACGAAAAACTATGCTGTATAAATTCTAGTATTTATATATTCTTAGCTGCTGCCTCGGATGCAAACGTTAAGAGAACAATTTGTCAGTAAAACTAAACTATACACATGTATCTGCGTAGTCAGCAGCATTGTTGAATAAACAACCACAATTATATTAACGTCTGTTGTTCATGAAAAATCAAAACAATTTATAATACTTTACGTGAGACGCGCCAGAATTTTAATTAGAGATTTAATTACAAAGATATAAAATTTATAAGGATTGTGGACAGAATTGTAACCACCTTCGACACTTTTACCGAAGGAAAAAAAAACTGCAATTTGTACTTAAAATTAAAATTGCTTGTCGGATATCCTTATGTCTTCTCTAAAGATATCCCTGTGTACTATCTTAAGGACTGTTGGCTTAATCTTTTTTTTCTTCTCTGTGCTTCATAGCTGTGTTGTAAACAATTGAAATATATACAGTAGTAGTACGTAGTACAATCAGAGACTGATCACTTTTAATTTCGTATAATTGGAATAGAATATGTAGAGGTAAAATTGAAGACTACGATGACATATTTACAGACTATATGACATGGAGATTGGGATATACATCAGCAAAGTCATATACACATATGTCTATAATTATCTAAAGTCGTAATACACATTTTTTTTCTTGCTTTTCAAATGACATCCAACTTAATTTATGCTCGGTATGTGCTTTGTTACAAACAACAGAGGGAAAATATAACATACTTATCTTACACGTGAGTACCGATATATTACATCATTAAAGTAGTGGCCCTGATATAAAAAAAAAACCGCAACAATTAGTATCTAATCATTATGATAAGTTTTTAATAATATATTTATCACTAACTGCAACTACTTTCCCCTATAATGTTATAAAAATCTCTTTGGTATTATTACACACGGTCTCGAGGGCAGTTTGTTGTTTCAATGTTACGATCTTCGGAAATACCGCTTTGCTCTGCATTATCCAATTTACAATTAGATAATACTGAACAACTAAAATTATAAAATATCGTTTAAATCGCTCTACGTTTAACGCAGATATGTAATATAGAATTATACACAAAGAAAAGCCGAGGATAGAAGTGCAAAGTCGAAAAATTACTTTAGATAAGAAAAAATTCTACTTTTTGCTACCGTAACATTGAAACAAGATTGCACGCAAAAAATACACTTTTTGTCGCCTTAGATACATTATATAAAAATTGGAGTGATAATTTTAAATACCATGACACAGTTCGACTATTTAATGTAAAATAGAATTGATTACTTTTGATTACCTTCAAGTGGAATGAAGGATAATATATATGAGTCCTGGTTTTTACAATCGCATACCCTCCTCTTTAGAAAATTAGTACATACATCGTGATTCCATAATTCTCGAGGTCAAGAACGTTAAAAATAATCTTTCATACAAATATAATATACTAGGTGTTTTTCTCTTTTACCTCGTTGGTGAAAATCAAATGACGGCTCGTTATTGATTACGCTAATCGAAGCAAATACACAAGTGGTGCAATATAATTTCTGGTAAAATAAGACTATAGACACACGCCTCTCGTTGGTGCGTATTGAAATTGCAAATTCATATATTCTGTATTGTTGAAAAAACATACATCTTATATCCTATTTGTACCCGTCAGAAATGCTTAACTCTTTTTTTTTGTCATTATTTCTACTATCGCGATACTTTATATATTATATGTACTAGCCTGTTTTGCATATCTTGACTATTTAAATTTAAAGGAAATTCCAAATAGTCAAGATAAATGAGAAACGCCCATTGTCTGTATTGTTATATAGTTACATAACTCTGTGATAAGAAAGTTATCTTGATAATTTTTTCACTCGTACACTTCGAACAGATTGATACGATTCATTCGACTCGATGTCTGAGCCCTGTTTTTTTACCCACAAAAATAAATTCCTTCTCTACGACCAATTTCTTTTTGGTAATATTATTACTATATTATATAATATTATATATTACCCAACGAGTAAAAATGTCCCAAATCGGGACATATGACAAGATCATATCATAGGATGTCTTTAAGACATCATATGTCCCGATTAGGAATATACGGGTTGTCTGGGTAATAAATATTATATTATATAATATCATTATTAAAAAATTGTTTCTCTCGTTTACTTTTAGACACCCGCGGGAAAGCCTTGTGCCTTTAAATTTTTGAAAATTATCTTGTGCCATTAACAAAACTGAATGAGTTATTTTTGCTGCAATTGCGGAAATAATCGAGCTTCGTGATAGATTATTTTGAGTAATTAATGAAATCAGGTATAAATATTTTCGTATAAATTCTTTCCATAGAAAATATTAATAAAAGATAAATAGTCTTTGGTGTGTATTCCCATGCATCAACCTGGCTCTACGACTAGAAAATATGTGCTTACCTCGCAGTACCGGAAAATACAAGTATTAATGCTTTTCGATTTTCCAGTAAACAATGCGCGATAGATAATTATCATCGAAAACAGACACGCCTGACATGACAATAGACCTCTTTGAAAATTAATACTACATCCGAGGAATTGGATTGCAAGTGAATACCCTCAAGCGTCTATGATGAATCTTGAGTACAAATACGACTAATCCTAATTCATTCCATTCTCATGTTCAGATATAACCGCCGTTTGACAACGACATATTCAGCAAGACATGCTACACAGTACAGTGACTCAAAGAGAAAAAGAAAACACAACACCAATCGTTACTAATTCTTGCACACGTTTATCCCTTCCGTGTATCACCGCGATGCACTGACAGCATGTATAGGTGGTACGGATCGATTATTTTTTTTTTTTTTTGGATTAACTAGATTACACTCGACGTGTTTATTCTGGGCTAGATACAGTTTGTTGTTGTTGACTGTCCTCGTCCTTAACAACATCGGCCTGCATGGCCTTCGTTAGAACGTTGGCGTCCTTTAATGATATTACTTGAAGTACCTGATGTTCCCCAGCGGCATTTATCATAGTCATAGGGTGGCCTTGTATAGCGACGGCCTCGATGGTGGTGTCCCCGTTTCCTGATTCGACCTTGGGTACCTGAACCATCGGTGTCACCACTTGCATCGTACCGTCGCTCTGTATATTGGCCACCATAGTTTGATACATACTGGCAGACACTGGCACTGTGATCACTCCTGAGACTGAGACAGGATATCCTGAAACAAACGTACAATGAGCGTTCTACGCTCGGCCCGCGATGAGGCAGTTGCATCTGTATTGCAAACTAGAAAATTATAAAAGAAAATGATAAACAAATATCTCAGATAAATTATATACTCACAATACGACAATGTCAAGAAGCTGTTTGCAAAGCACTAATATCGAACCAATACGGTCTGTGCACGATCAAAAAGTTGTGTTGTTCGCACTACGCATTCTTCATTCGACAATTTTACCCTCTATCGTAACAGTTAATAATTACTAGTTTACGATACAGTCGAACATCTATTGGATTACTAATCCTTAATTAACGAGGCCTTACGTTCTTCCTTAACTGGCATGGGCGCGGTCTGTCAGATCACTGCAGTTATTCACAAACGAAACAATAGTAAAACAAAATTACTCGTATTATTATCGAGTGGGAGGTAAACAGAGGGTACAGGTTTCAGACTTGAGAATAAGGAAAACGAAAGGAATGAACAGAGGTCTGTGAGACCGCTGCGTGCCAGTTAAAACCTTATAAATACGAAATCGCACTTCGCGTAAATTTAAAGACGCAGAGACAGAAAGAGAAAGAGAGAGAGAGAGAGAGACAGTACCATTTAATTAGAGAGTGCGCTAAGAACAAGGTGTATTTACTATGACTCAATAATTCTTCGGCACGCTCTTTCAATTGTGAGATCGAAATACAGTTTACGGTCTATCTAAGCAAATCAAGGCGTTTATGAGGGACAGCAAGTGTTTAAGCCGTTTGCAGAAATCAAAATTTCATCATCACACAATACACATGATACTTTCGAAGCGTATAAATGTTAGCATTGACATGTTACTTATTTCAAGCAGCTTAAACACAGGCTGCTAGAACATAATATATAAAAAATAATGGTACATCAACAAAAAATACTCTATGTACAGCAAGTTTATTTCACTTCGTTTAATTAAAGTCAGTAAACCAATTTTTAATAGTAAATATAATCGTAGAACAGTTTCTTCCGTCATCATGATTGCGACAACGGACTGCTTTAGCAATAGTTTGTTGAGTCGAAAATTTTAAGAATCCAATGGCGATATGCCATTTATAGTCATTTACACATCATATATTTTTAATTATTAAGAAAAATTTCTAAAAGTAATGCAACATGTACTCTTACAAACAAATACCGTAATAGTATAATTGTATTCTATAAATACATGGCATGTGCATGTCATCGCTGAAAAGTAGTATCTACATGCATATATAAATCTACATGTATATATAAATAAATGCTATCTTACAAGAAAACCCACGGAAGTGTCCCCCCCCCCCCATTTTAATGAGCTTTTAAGGTCACTTGGACCAAACTGCGATTAACTTAATCGTTGATTAATCCACTGGAAATGACCAATAGCATTTGTCAATCTGCTTAATGAGCAAATGCAATTGGCACGCATCATTTCCGATGGACTAATCAACGATTAAGTTAATCAGAGTTTGGTCGAAGTGGCCCTTAGTATGTTGTTCTTTAAATAAAAATAAGGGACATGTATTTTTTTATACGTGCCCATACGCGTCTTTCGAGTCGAATATCGAGCCGAAACTATAAAAGATAGAAAATCATCAGACTTTTTTAAAGCAAAAGTTAAATGATTTAAAAAGCACTTTAAAAAATGACCAACATTTTTTATAAATTTTTATTTTTATAAAAATAAAAAAATTAAAATAAAATTTGCATTTTGTCATTCTTTTCATCTAGAGAACAACATACTAAAAGCTCATCAAAATCGGAGGACACTTCCATGGATTTCCTTGTTAGTTTGCAAAAATCAAGTAACAAGTAATATAAATTTATACATATTTCAAAGTGCAAAGATTCGCGATTAATACTTTTAATATGTCTGTTATATAAAAATTACACGTAAGCGCACCATGGATTCTTAAAGAACAAAGTTTCAAATAAAGCTGTGCATAGCTCCATTTATATAAAATTACTCTAAATATATATACAATACGAGGCAAATACATAAACTAGTCCAGATCCTACTTCGTTACGCAAAGTAGTATAAACACATAGAAACATGATTCTTGATTGGAGCATAGCAGACAGCATGCAAAAAAAGATCCGGGACCAATAAAAACGAGTCACTGCTCAAGTAGCTCCTGGCCGGCGACAGTGCAGAGCCTATAAAAAACTGTTTTACCGTGTCCGTCTTCTCCGGTAAGAATGATCTGGCCGTCTTGACCTAACGTCGCTTCTGTGACAGTGTTCAAATCGACGGCCACGCTAGCACCTTCTGTGCTACCAGCTACTTCTGCTAATGCTTGCACATCTCCTTGACTCGTGTGGATCTAAATGCAATCGCAAATAAGATATTACATGATTTATATTACGTGCGACACTAATATTTACAAATTTAATTTACTAGTATTAAGAATTTCATATAAATTCTGTTAAGTTTAATCTAAATTTTAAAAGAAATAATAGAGACCAAAAAGATAAATTTAGAAACAATTAAAAATGTTTAAAATTATATATTAAAACTATTGCCACGTACAGCATTATCTGTTCAGTGATTATTATAATCTGATATTTTGTTATATTAATATCTATTGCATTATAACTTTGATTCTTTAAACTGAAAATGATCTACAAGTATAATAGACGCAAGATATCTGTTACAAAATCCTATCTTTAGACGGTATTTATAACTCTTTGTGTTCATATATGTACTTGTATCTTGTATTGATTTTACAACTACAACAGTTTTCAGTCCATATTGACCTTTAGTATTTCTCTATGTATTTCTCTGTGTCTATGCAAGGAATGATCGAATTCATGTGCCACATTATATGTATATCGATTTAATATATCTCAATTCTCTATATTTTATATGTATTATAAATATATTATGATATAATATAATTATTATATCAAATATTGCACTGATTCTATGCCATTTTGTAAAAAAAATGCATATTTTCGAGAAGTCTTTAGAGATTTTTTATATTAAATATTTGTGATTTTTTGGAGAAGACTTACAGTAGCGACTCCTTGAACTTGGGCTGTTGTACCATCTGGTAATGTAATAATCGGTGTATTAGGATCCACCTGTATAATAGAAACTGTTCCATCTGGATTGGTTATTGTCTGCAATACAGTTGTCGGATACTGGGTCATCTGTTAAACAATTTTAAGTCTGTTTCATATGTATATATATATATATATCATATGATGAACTATGTATATGATAACGAGTATGTTCCATTTGACGCTCGTGAGCGTCATTCGTCCTTGTTTAACATCCTGGTTAAACAACAAGGATGAAATGATTCTAAGAGCGCATTTGTTAGAGCTAAATGGAACATACCCGATGGCTGTGCATCTCAAAACATTATGGACTGTCAATCTTAACAAACATTGAAATAGTGAAAGGCAAAGTGTATCAAAGTAAAAAAACAAAATATATCTTTCGATCCTAAATCTTTCGAAGTTTCGAAAGAGTAATTGTGCCTATATGTTACTTCAAAATAACAATAAATAATACTTTTGAAATGCAGCCCTGTGTGTATGTGAATCAAGAGACGTTATTTTTATAATATTAATTCTAACTAGAATTTCAATTTTAAAATACTAATAAATTTAATCTACAAACATTCTATCACTAAAGACAGATTATAAGCAAATTAATGTATTTTAATATACGTCTAACTTAATTATAAAATCTAATATATGGCATAACGAAAAAAAAGCCGAATTAACTCAAATAAGGGAAACCAAACACATTAATAGAAATGACTTTGCAAAGAATATTCCAGATTTTTGATTCATTCTTTTTCTATAGAATACAGACTGTAGAAACAAACGAAAATCAGGTCTTGAAAAATTGAGAAGCTTTAGACTAGAAAAATTACTAATATTTTTTTAAATATCAAAATAATACTATGAATCTCTTTAATAGTATAGCGACCAAAAATTCATATTGTTTCATGTCATTCTATATCTATTTTTAAAAATTCTATTTTTATATAAACTCCATCCACTCCCACCTGAGTGGCAGTGGCAAGAGCTGTGGGAGACGCGGCAATGATTTGTGCTGGCGAAGAGTTTCCCTTAGATGAATCCGTGCTGTTGAGGCGAACGACTCCCACCGTCTGCTGCTGTTGCGACTGTCCTCCATTTTGCCCTTGACTCGATGATGGATGCGACGAGGAATGAGGCGTCGCTTGTTGTATTAGAACATTAGACTTATCGTCGTCTTCGCTAAACGCTGGTAGAAGATCTTCTCTTCCGTGGTATTTATAACAATTTATTACAATTTGCCGTAACGCGTGAGTCCAGGAGATCTGCAATGAATTGCACTGTCCCAATTTCCAGTTTAACATCCAATCAATGAGTTTTCGAATAGATTACTCGCTTAAGCAATTTATGTTCATTATATATTTTATTTATCAAATTCATAAAACAGTATAAAGAATCTAAGAAATATATTTTTTGCGTCGAATTTCAAAATTTTTAATTATTTCTCTGAATTATTAGCCTGTTTGTATTTTTAATAAATATAATAATTTTAATAAATACAATATTTTTTTTTTATTCTTATTAACATGACATAAATCTATTTAAAGATATTTCAGTATTGTAGTAGAACGATAAACAAAGAATTGAAAATATTTTGATTGATTTTACGTACTTTTTGTTTTTCGTCCTCCGATCGCGCATCCATCCGGACGTTAGCCCAAGGCAATTCTTTGGGCCACCAAGGAGGTCGCGTACTATCTCTTCCCCAACCAGGCTTGCCTCTGCCTGTGGAATACTTTAACATCAACGGGATGAACGCCCTGAGTTGCGCCTGTGTCATCTTCTCCACCGGGGTCGGTATACCGTCGATTATAAGCGGTGGTAATTCGAATAATGACGGATCATCCTGCACGGGCGGAGGCGCTTGTTGTGCAAGTGCGTTCTCCAGCTCTTCCATAATAACGTTTCTTAGATTTTTAACTACGTCTTCTAATGGTTTTGCTCCAAAGACTTTGTAACTACTATTTGGTTTGCCTGGCGTAGCCACTAATACTACCGCCTGTTGTCCCACTCGCGTAGCAAATTCGTCAATAGTTTGCTGTAAAAGATTCGATAATGACATTGAGAATATGAGAATGTATGTAATAATGAAAATGCGATATTCATGCGATCAATTATATCAGAATTGCACTTACTCTAAGCTTTCTTAAAAGTCTGTTTTGCTGTCTCTTTCTGATACTGGGATTGGTTTCGAAACTGTGAGGTCGTTTTCGTTTCTTGGCTGATACGATGGCAGCAGCCGCAGCAACGCCTACAGGTCCTAAAGATTTTTTAATGCAAAAAAAAAAATGTTTTAATTGTTTCAACTTTATACCTCTTGATATGCCAATATAAGCAAGAAAAATAGAAAAAATATTTTCAAATTTCAAATTTCGATAATAAAATAAACGCTTATTTATAAAGCAAAAAATTTGACAAACAACATTGGCATATCAAGAAGTGTCATTTTCAACAAAACAAAGATGCGTAAGCAACAATGAAACAATCGATCTGTTTCTTTTAGCTGCACTGGCTGAACTAAACTGAACTGGTGCAATAAGTTGAAGTGAGACAAGTGTATTTTGTTTCCCTCTAACTTACGGCATCAGTGTGCACCAGTTCAGCCAGTGCAGCTAAAAAAAAACAGACCCAATGAAATAGTGAAACGTGATTAGGATCGAAGATTATTGAAGAAGTTTTGAGATTATAAATGATCGGGTAATTATATCAAACTATATAATATGATTTATGATATTGAACTGACTGTGCAATGCAAAAATAATCATATTAAAAAAAAAAGTTTTATAAATCCGTTTGAGAAAATACCAAGAAAACATAAGATATAAAAAAAAATAAAATTCTATAGAGACATAATAGAACTTTATTATATTTCACATCTAGATGAAAATATTAAAAAAATATTGGATCGTATTCATTATTAAGAATTGAGAGAGAGAGAGAAAACATTATTTGCCGAAATAATTTTATTTCTCTAACTAAAAGTATGAATTTGATCCTTTTATAACACTGGCTGATATATATATTCTAATTTTTGTTATAATAAACAAATCTGCTTCATTTTAAACAAAATAGCACCATTTAAGGTAATATTCCGCTTTTTAACTTCAACTTCCATAACAGAATCTTGTCTCGGTTATTAATTATGAATACAATCCATTGTCATCCAACATTAATCACATAAAGCAAATAAACACACAAACACTGTAAAATGTACAATTATCATGTTAGTCTGTAGTGTAATTGCAAATATACATTTTTACTTTAAAAACTTTTTCAAACATTATCGTGATTGGCTTTGCAAATAATGATATTCAAATACAAATCATATACATATTTTATATACGTATATAAAATATGCAGTTTGCGTACTGTGCAATTACATACTGCCTCTTGGGAAAAAAAAAACGTTTTTTAACATCAATTAATTCAGCTCATTATTCTGTGCATAATATTATTAAAGTAAAATTTAAACAAATTAAAACTTTTAGAAATAAATATTTCATATTTTATGTCATAATAAGTCAAATTAAAGTATAAAGTATTTTATTATACAAACCATTTTTTCAAACCATTAGTCATCCTCTGTATTTTTTTTACACAGAGTATTAGCAAAAATAAATTTATATAAAAAAATTTACATAATTACTTTTTATTAATATTTGCTATATGATACGCTGTTTCACGTATACAACGAATACAATTTCAATTTAATTAATTATATTATAGTGATGTAAATTCCTGAAGAAAATTATCTTTGACAATATTAATGTACAAAAAGTTGCAAATAATTTCAATGAGTCACACTTGATACTGTATATATTTTATATGTTTGTGTATACTGTATAACAAGAGCATCGTATCCTCTTACTTGAAGTTTAATGATCTTGCGGGAAGAGATTAGCCATAACGCTAAACAACACTCTCGCAGGACGAGATAGAGCATCCCGTTTTATAATGTGCTTCATCCATAAATAAAGGTAGTTAAATAGGGATAAATAAACAAAAAAGTGAAAAAGCGAAAAAAAATCACCATTAATGTTTTTGAATTGCCAACCTGCTGCGGCGAGTTGCGCTGTCACATCGTCATCCATCGCAGCCGAAAGGAGATCTCCTTCCTCGTAGGCTTCGGACTCGCTGCTAGGCTCGTCATCGTCGTCGTCCGAAAGCCGGCGCAACGTGCTGGTCTCCGCGTCTTGTACAGAAACCATCTTTATCTCTTGCTCGTCCAGCTTGGTATCTCGTATATTGCAATCACACTGCAGAAAGTCGTGATGCCGTCGATTTCAGTGGCAGTTTCAATTTCTTCTACATCACCTTAGCCTGAAGTGACAGAGTACATCGTTTTTTAATAATAATAAGGTTCCTAAAACGGTGCGCAATCGTCGCAAAATTACTGGACGTGTAGAAGCCAAGATTTTTTATTAATTAGTACTAAGGTAGATCTTATTAATCGGTACTATGCTAATTCCCCGCACGATGTTTAAGTTCCGCGTTTACGTCGCTCGTCTGGGGTCGGGGAAGAAAAAAAAACGAAGAGCACGTGTTTTCTCTCCGGAAGCAAAGAGAAGGGAGAAAAAGACAGAGAAAGAAAGAGAGAGAGAGAGAGAGATAAATCTGGTTATGTACATTTCGCACAATTGACGAGCTACGGACGACGGGCCGCCTTCCGCAGCTCGCACGCACGATTCTCCTGGTGGCCGGGCAGGCCGGGGTAGCGCGCGTACAGCCACGCGGACGGGAAGGAGCCCGTCGCCGGGGCGGCATATCACGACGAACATAACTCCGATTCACGGCAACGGAGGCAGCGGAGGCGACGGTGATGATGATGACGATGGTGGATGCGGCCGCGGCCGCGGCGTCTCTCGTCCACCTCGTGGCATGGTCGCGACCGCAAAGTTGACAAACGTTCCAGGCGACAACAAGAGAACGCGCGCGAAAGCGTCGTAAAGAGAGACGGACGGGGACGGGGAGAAGGGAAGAGAACGGACACAGCTAGCACGACGGCAAAGCAATAAGCACGGCGAGGGCGAGGTATAGAGGCAAAGAGCAAAGGCGCAGAGGCAAGAGAGGGAGGACGCGGGGATATGCGCGTTTATTCGGGCCGATACTTTGGGGGGGCAATGAAAATGCGCAGGGCACACGCAAAAGCGGCAAAAGAGAGCAGGTCCGGGTAGCCGGATAGCGGAGCAGCTCTCCTCACGACTCACGACGACTGCTCGGTGAACGCGGAGCCGATGGAGCAGGCCCAGTGAAGCTCGGGAGTTGCGTACGCACCTTGGTGGGTTCCCGCTTCCCGCGGAGTGGATTCAAGGGAGGGCTTAGGGCTCCTCGGCCTCGGCTACGCTGACGCGTCTCGCACCACGCCCCGCGCACGCGGTCGCGCCCGCGCTTATCATCACCGTGGTATACGGCCGGTCGTGCGGCGACGGGCGACGGGCGACGGTGGACGCGCGAGGCCACTTGCCGACGACTTGCGTTTACCTCAGGACGCGTGACGCGCGACAACGGTGGTAGCCGCCATGGCCGGTATTCGGCTTCGGCAGCGGCGGCGGCGGCGGCGGGTGTATCGATCGGCACCGAGCGGGCCTCCATCTCACCCACCACCACGACAACAATACGCTGAATACGCGGACACGGGTGGATCGGCCATCTTGGGCGAGCCTGCGCGATGCACGCCCGCCCGAGCAGACGATGCCAATTTCCACGGCATTTCGCGGCGGCTGCGGACGCCGCGCATCCTCGACCCCCTACGCCGATCGTTCGCGCCTCGGCCCTCGGCCTCAAGCCGCTACCAAGCTCAACACTCACCGTTTCCCCGTTGAAATCCGCCCGACGACAGCACCGATCCCGGAGAACGCCAACGCCATATACATATATACGAGCTTGGGTATAGCGCTGTACGCTGTATAGCTCCTGTATAGCGCGATTGGCGGGAATCGAGAGGGCACGCGTCATGGCGGACCAACTACGCCCGCCGCCATTGGTCGGCCGGACACGTGACTGCCCGACCATGCCCGACCAGCCCGACCCGACTGCCTCGAGCCACGAGCCGCGCTGAGCCGTGCGACGTGCGATAATCGTAATGTGGTAATGTCGGACGACCATAACCTGCGTAGCCCGCTTTCTTCCGTTTTCGCTTCGCAGCAGAAAGAAGAATCTCGTCGCCTCGTCGCTCGACGATAAAGACCCTTGGCTCTGGCTGTCTCCGCCGCTCGAGAATCTGCCTCGGTCACGAACGTCGTGCTTTGGGCTTCGCACGAGTCGCTCACGTATGCAATCTTCCCTATGCTATATGTTTTTGTCGTCTCACGGTTTTACTGTAAAACTGACAATAAATATGTACCTAGTTCTGAACTATGGCCAAAGGTAACTTTGATCTAAAGTTTGACTAATTTTTTCGATGATTAATTTGTCAAGTAAAAATCTATCCCTGATGAAAAAATGTCTCAGATCTTTTATTTGGAATGTTTTTCAGAAAAACTGACAAAATAATGATGAAATATTTCAGATTTTTCCTGTCAACGCATCTTTGAGTTGCACAAATCTGAATAAATATGAGAAAATCCACGCAATTTGTCAGAAATTTTCATGTATTGTGGACGCTGAAATATCCTGAAAATCTTCATTCAATTACTTCTAAAAGTATCTGAAAAATGTTACGTATTTCTTCAAAAATTTTCATTAATCTAAAAAAAGAATCTGACAAAATATTTGTTCACCAGGGATGCTACTTTATTAAAGATTAGAACTAACATTTTATCATTTAACATGTTTCCTCAACAACATCTAGAAACTTACTAAATACATTACTATTTTGATGTAAACAAGTATCCTTCTATAAAGAAACACGTGTGCAAAAAATTAACTCTTCTGATTTCCCTTGCTTTTTATTCTTTTAATCTTTGGTGCTATAGTTATATGAAACGTTTATGTGTCAACCTTTGTTAAGAATGTTAAAAAGATACGTCAGTCGGTTATTTTGCAAATGGTTAAAATTTTTTATCGGGACATTGGTTTATATGTATATATATATATATGTGTAATTAACAATTTTTTCGAGATTGGACCCACTTTCTAAATGGTGTAATCGTTAAAAACTATCAGACTCCCTTTGACATTCACATTCTGCCAATTTATAATAAAACCACATTTATTTATCTATATTCTAAGATATACACAGAAAAAGATAGGCAAAGAAGTCCATCACAGGCACACTACTACAATGCTGAATTATTTCATAGTCATGCTTTCTAAAACCATTACAGAAAATACATTTTGTTCCTATTTTGTTTTTACAATTGTTACATCTACAGTACAAAAGTATTAATACCTAAATATAATAATGTTGTAAAATGGCATAAAGCAGCTCTTTACATATCACATCTGGGGCAGAGTAAATTAGAAACTACGAATTTTACATCAACGCTACCAATCGAGATTTGAATCTAAATCTTGTGAAGTTTTAAATGTCTCTTTATCCTCGCACCACAAATGAAAACAAGAATACTACGAATCTTCGAATCGTTTTAATGTCGCGAGATTCCTTCTCTACGAACACATACGACTTTCGTTTCTCCAATACAATTCAGGATATATTATGAAACACAATCTGCCATAATTCCGTCCGGTGATTTTAGAATGACGTCGTTTTTTCCAAAGGATCCACAGTTGGTACGAAAAATAACATTGCAGGTATTCCATTAGTTCCTAAGCCCATGGCTTGTTTTTGTGACAAAACTTCCCGTACCAGCCAGGCTCACAGAGACACGTGTCGTTCGATTGACAGGTTCCATGTTTACACGGTTTGCTACATGCTGAACGTTGCGACGTTATGCGTGCAGTGGTTGCGATTTCGCAGTGATTGCCCTTGTATTCGTTCGAACACCTGCAGATGTTAGTGCCTCTACATTTGCCTCCATTGAGACAGGGAATGACACATTTGGCTGAAAAGACAAAAAGATGACAAGAATTTTCTTCTAGATTTTACGTGCGTTAACGAGACATGTTTGTACTCACAGAATTCGCAGCGTAAGCCGAAATAACCTTTTGGACATTCGCAGACATCCTTCTGAATACACTTTCCTCCATTCAAACATTTCTCCGTGCAGATACCTGAAATCGTTCGATCTTAATAAGGAACTTTTTCAAATTTTATAGAAAAATGTTGCGTGTCAGAGGACTGGGAGTACGACTGGCCAGCACATCAGCAGCCACGAGCGCGTCTGGAAAAGTACTAGACTCGATAATAAGAGTTGACCATGCCGGTGAATTGGGAGCTGACAGGATATACGCTGGACAAATGGCTGTGCTAGGTATGGTTGCTTGAATATACGATGTAGATATGTAGCTTTAGATTAGGATTCTAATGGATTTCTGCCAAAGCGCAGGTAAGACGACGATTGGACCGACGATACAGCACATGTGGGATCAAGAGAAACGGCATCGTCTTAAATTCGAGGAATTGATTCGCAAGCACCGAGTCAGGCCCACCGTTCTCACTCCGCTGTGGAATATCGCCGGGTTCGCCCTGGGCGCCGGTACCGCTCTCATGGGCGAGAAAGCGGCGATGGCGTGCACTGTGGCAGTGGAGACTGTGATTGTCGAACACTACAACGATCAGTTGCGCGTGCTGATGGAGAATAGCGAAAACGTGGATAAAGAGATACTCGAAACTATCAAAAAATTCCGCGATGAGGAACAGGAACATCACGACACAGGCATAGATTGCGGTGCCGAGCAAGCGCCGTTCTACCAAGCTCTGACGAACGTGATCAAATTTGGCTGTAAAACAGCTATCTCCATCTCCAAAGTGATATAAACGCGTTTTCCCAGTATTCGAGACGTTAAACTAT